CATGATATTCACACAAAAAATCGTCAACTCCCCCCTCCCCCTTCGGTCGCCAAAGTTATCAGGACAGGGATATATAAGTTATCGGGTTTGCGATGTGTGAGTGACCATGTTATTCACATAACAGTTACCGGGGTATGTTTGATCAACTCCTTATAGAAAAGAAGAAAAGAAAGCAACATGGAATGGTCAAATAATATGGCGTGCATACTTTTTGCAACAAATGGTCCAGTTGAGCTGGTTAGTGTGTGTTTCACATTAGTTGCTAGGCGTGAGTTCAAATCCCATATTTAGCATGATTTTTTTTTGACTAAAAATGTAATGAGGGCGTGCCAATAGATCTAGAATCCAAAAAAAAAAATGACAGATCCAATTTAGAGAAAAATCGCGACAGTCAACGGCATAGTCTTCAGATTCTTCCCACTAAATTCGCAATCAAAGTTAGCGAGTCATTCACATTTTAAATCTTGAACAAAGAGCCACTACGCAATATATTCATAGCCTGGGCGCTTTCGACAGCAACAAAGTCAGGGTGAGTTTGTTACCGTGGTGGGCCAATTGCAGGAGGTCGCGGGTTCGAATCCCGTCCTGCCCCTTCTTTTTCTCGCGCAAGTTGGCGGCCGCACGATCAGGATCCGACGACGATGGGGTCGTTCGGATCTGTTGCAGATTTCCTGCCGGCAGGAAATTAGCTTTATCGATTTCAAAAAGCCCAGGGAATTGGTCTTTTAAAGAGGTTTCTCCACACCATCATCAATTGGTCTTTTGAGGAGGCTGGGTACCCACAATCATCATTCTACCTTTTATATAGATGTGTTTTAGTTTCATCAAATCAACTCAGCATGGAGAATCATTAGCAATTTTAACTCATATTTCCTTCTTTCTAACTAAATTCTGCCACATACCTTCTTTATTCTCCAGATTCCATCACCATTTACACATGAGACTGACATTGAATTTCTCTGAATTGTGGATACCCAGCCTCCTTTCTTCTTTTGCCTACAAATAACATGCCTTCGCACCCAGTGACTTATTGCTTTTCTCTTGCCAAAAAAGCCTTCTAATAGATTTTCCACCCTCCCTATATTTGTCTTAGGGAATCTATACATGAAGAAATGGTAAACTAAAACACTGGTTAAACAAGCTTTGATTTTAGTCACCTTGCCACCAGGGGACAGGTTTCCAGCATACCAGCCCTACATTCTCTTCACGATTTTCTTTTCAGCAGGAATCCAGTCAGCAACATGTAGTCTACTCCCACAAGCAGGAACCCCTGGATATTTGATAGGCCAGGCCCCTAATTTGTACTTAAATAGGTCATCATAACTCTGCCTTTTATCATCATCCTGTAGCACCATCAGGACTCCACTTTTTTTGAAAAATTGGTTTTCAAACCTGACATGTGTTCAATGAAACACAACAACACTTTGAGGTTCCTAACACTATCCAGATCATCCGGTATGAACAGGATAATATCATCAACATATTGCAAAATGACAACTCCCTTATCAATTAGGTGGGGGATCGGGCCCACAATCTGACCACTTGACTTGGCTAACTGAATCATTCTCTGCAAGCAGTTGGCAGCTATGTTAAAAAGGAAATGGGAAAGGGGGTCACCATGTCTCACCCCTCTAAAATTCGGCATATCATCCTAAAATGAAACGCATTATTTGCCTTCTCTCTTTTCCTTGGACAGTCTATCTACAGAGAATACATACTGTACACACATGATCCTATCTCCGATATTGGTTATGATCTCAATTCCGGATAGAGATATCAACCACATTCATTTTCCCCATCCTAGGCGACTAAGTTCAAGATATCTGATGCGCACGCATGACACTCCCCAAATGCTAATCAAGTGCCTCAATTAGTAGTAATAACACTTGTAATAATAATAGGCAAAGCCAGGTGGACATAACCGTTGGCCAGCTCCTCCCCTGACAGACATACAGTTGCGGCACATGCTTAGCGCCGCTAATCGTGGGGGTGGCTCGCATTTAATGCCACCATGATTCTCTTGATTCCTCCTCATGTGGCTCCAGATTAGACTAGCACCCGCATGCTTCAGCTGCAGAGGGCGAGAGACACCAAGCGTGGATTAAACTAGGTTTTGGTCAATGTTTTGCAGCTACTTGTTCGGGTGGTTTACAGTTGGCTTAGGCTTAGGCTTAGCCTAAGCAGCAGCTTAGCAGGCGAGTAGATCGCCATCCCACTGGACTGGATTTTGGAAGATCGGCAGGCAGGTATGTACACATAAATCATGATGATCTATCTATCTGGTTGGTTCATGACAGTTTTTGGAATATATCTGAAGCAATCATCCCATTTATTGGCTTGATCTCTCGAGCGTGCGTGCGTGCGTGCGTTGTCGTTGATGCGCACAAGCGAGCTCCAGAAGATACGCTGAACATCACGTTAGTTCGTCTAATAGCGGCATCTGAAATTCTGAATAGCTCTTGTCAGATGAGCTCTTAGTTTCTGCGATGATAATATGTGCAACCTTTACTTTCTGACGTTAGGAAAGAGGGCATGTCATGTGTCAAGCTCAAAAAAGCTTTGAACATGTGATTTGCGCACCATAGTTAGGCACTCCCTCCGTAAAGAGATGTAAAAGCGTTTAGATCACTAGAGGGAGTACTTCTGAGATGAGGTTTTTAGTTTCCGACTTTCTGTAATTGTAATGCAAGATTTGGTGTCTTGATAGATAGAGTTGTTCATACAGCAGCACGTCTACTAGAACATTAGGCAAGGTCATAAGTATGTGACAAGCTGGACAATGCCATGAATTGTGATCTCTTCACCGTGGTTAAACAAGCAAAGCTACACTGAAAACAAAACAAGCAAAGCTAGTACTAGTTCTACAAGGAAATTTAACAAGCATTTGCACGGAGCGATTTTTCGACAGGATACAATCCAAAAGGACAATCAAGTGCTCACTATACATTGCGAAAGACGCGTAGGCGAAATCTTCGCCTTCCTCATACAATTTTCACTTGCATTCAGATTTGGTCAGGCTGAATGGCATGCTCCATCCATGGCATAGAAATTCAGAATTCTTCTGGCACCGGCAGCCTCGGTCAGGCTTCGGAGTTGGCGGTGAGCGTGGCGAGGTCGAGTGGCTGCGCGTGGTTGTGGTCGTTCTCGTAGGTGACGTTGAGCATCCCGGCGTCGCCGCGGCACCGCTCCACGTGCTTCCTCGCCGGGCAGTCCTTGATGCTGCTGCACCGGTAGTATCCCCTGCAATTAACCAACAACAAGTTCATACTTCATACCCGCCTGAATTTATTACCACCTGATCATATCCAATTGTAATGTCTCACTCAGCACCAAATGCATGCTTGCACGCCCAATGAATGCTGAGATCGACACGGCTACGGTGCATGCCCACAACCTCTTACTGACATTTCTAATAAGTTTGTTTCATTCATGGATAATACTTGGTGACATTACATAACAATGAACATGAGAGAGAGAGAGAGAGCTAGACTAATTAACCAAGATTGGAGCATAATATACCTTGGGTGTGGAGAGCCTTTGATGGGTTTCTGCCCGTACTTCCTCCACGAGTAACTGTCGGAAGGTATATCGGCCACCTTGTCGCTCACCGCCGGCATCCTCACCACCCTCTTCTCCCTCGGCTTCCTGCAAACCAACCAATCACACGATTGTAAGTAAAGTAAAGGCGCACGCAATCGGCAGAGCTAGATAAATCAATGGCGCGCGCATGCGACCGGCACCGACTTTTTCTTCGGGCAGTGGCATTTGCCGTCATCGTCGGCTTTGTGCGCCGCCTTCCTGGACGCCGGCGCGCAGGCGGAGGTCTCCGACATGGTGATCAGCTGGCTGCTCATGTTGGTGAAGAAGGACGTGGCCGCCGACGAGGTGCACACCGAGTTGTCGAAGCTGAAGGTGATCACCTCCGGCTCCTTGCCGCTCCTCGCCGCCGGGATCTCGATGTGGAACGGCTTCTCGCTCGCCGGCTTCGGCTCGAAGTGGAACCTCTTGTTGTCGCTGCTGGCCGGCCTCTGCTGCTGCTCGAGTATCCTCTTCTGCGGCTGCTGCTGCTGCTGCTGCTGCGGAATCTGATGGTGGAATTGGATTTGAGGAGGAGGTGGAGGGGCAGGAGGAGGATTGGCCGCCGGAGCTGCCGAAACTCTGGAGCCGTTGATCTGCACGGCGGCAATGGAGGCGGGAGTACACCCACTCAAATCCAGGATTGGCGTCTGGAAGAACATGTCCCTGTCTGGAGCCTTGGCCGCCGGAGCTGCGGAAAGTCTCGAGCCGTTGATCTGCGCGGCGGCAATGGAGGCGGGAGTAACGCTGCTGCACGCACTCAAATCCAGGAGCGGCGTCTGGAAGAACATGTCCCTGTCCGCAGCACCCTTGGCCGCCGGTGCAACGACCTTGCCGTTGCCGGCGGCACAGGGAGCCGCCGCCGCCACCGGCACCGGCATCTGCTTCAGCGGCGTCGGCGGCGGCGCAGGAGTGCTACTGCTACTCCCATGGAGTTGGGGGGCACTGGCAGGTGGGCAGTACGGCACCGGCGGGGGAGGGTGGTACTCAAGGAGGCACCTCGCAATCGGGTCGGCCGGCGGCGAGCTCCTCCGGCCGACCCTCGCCCTCGCATGGCCAACCCTATTGCCGAGGATGTTAACCACCTTGCTGAACCGGGACACGGCCTCTTCGGTCTCGGCCGCGACGGCGGCGAGCCGGAACGGGTCGCCGGCGGACAACGAGAGGCGCGCGACCAGCCTCTTGCAGCTCACCACCGCCGCCCGGTTGGCCTCCTCCACCCCCTCCATGGACAAAGAACCCAAGAATACAATCTTGGTGGTGCAATGGAATCAAATAGCTCTAGTCTAGATCGGGTTGAACATCAAGAGATGGACAAGGTGGAGAAGAGTTTCACCATGCAAGCGCATGCAGAAGCTTGCGCAAGGTGAGCAAGGTCGCGGCAATGGCGGCCGGAGCAGGAAAAGGTTCCTGCTGGATCTCGCGGCGACTTTATACAGGGATGGACCAGAGCATATGCGACATTGTTAGTCTCTCTCGTTGGGACCTTCACTTGTGCAGGAAGTAATTGGCGCGGGTATAATATTCAGGCCGAGAGTGAGAGGTGGAGCACTACCAGAATAAAAATTTAGCAAAGTCAACTAGGCTGGTGACGATCACAGCCGTCGATTTGATCGACGGCCGGGATGTTGATTCACCTGTCCTTTTCACTCAAGGTCACACTATTTTTCTTCTTCTGTTTTTTAAGCTGGTCAATCAATCAAACTCCAGCCGTCATCTCAAGTGTAGGACACACAAACAATTCCCATGGAAATTCTTGTGCCAACCTTCTTTAACCGATATGTGAATGATTGTCATGTTGGGTCACTGTCATAGTGCCATTTGATTAAGTCTAAACACTGGGCAATACAAGACCGCAATAATTCAATGCTATATAAGAAAAAAGAAGCTACGTATGCAAGTTGTTAGTACAACAATAGGATAAAAGTCTGCTTATGAATTCTAGAAAGTAGCCCGGATGAAAATATAACACCCCCCCTCCCCCCGCTGTCCGGCCT